TGCCTGCCTCAGCCTCCCGAAGTGCTGGGATTACCACGCCCAGCCCTTTGATACAGTTTTTATTTGATTGTAAAAAATATGTGGTAGTTAAAAGAATAGATTTGGGACTTAATTCTGAGTTAGGTTACTGGCCCTGCCATCTACTAGCCTTATGATTTTATGCAAGTTTTAACTCTGAGCCTCTGTTTCCTCGTCTACCAAATGGACATGTTTGAGGCTACTTCCCTCAGAGTTATAAGAAGAACTTGAGGTGATATATGAAGCTCTTAGTGTGGTACTGGAGACAAGGTTAAGTGCTTGCAGTCTCTGAAATCCTTGGTGAAACAGGCAACCTTTACTGTGGTGTCAGTGCTAACGGAAATGGTAGGGTAGAGATTGAGAATATAGCTGAACCTCCATTGCCTGTGTCAGTGCTAATGGAAATGGTAGAGTGGAGGTGGAGACGGTAGCTGAATCTCCATTGCCTGTGTCAGTGCTAATAGAAATGGTAGGGTGGAGGTGGAGACGGTAGATGAATCTTCATTGCTTGCATCTAGTATTGTTGTGCTTATGCTGCTTTGTCACATCATCCTCACTTGTACTTTCTTCCAGTCTCAAGATATCTATGTCTGTATGATTTTTATAGTGAGGTATAGTTTGCAAAGTCACTTCCATACATACCTTATTTGACATGACACGATAGCTTAAAATGGAAGTGGGGAACAGGTTAGGTGAAGGTCCTGCAGATATTATGGGCAACAGTGCTTGCTTGCTTTTTATTTTATTTATTTTTTGAAACGGAGTCTCACTCTGTCACCCAGGCTGGAGTACAGTGGCATAATCTCGGCTCACTGCCACCTCTACCTCCCGGGTTCAAGTGATTCTTCTGCCTCAGCCTCTCTAGTAGCTGGGACTACAGGCATACACCACCACATCCGGCAAATGTTTGTATTTTTAGTAGAAATGGGGTTTCATGTTGGCCAGGCTGATCTTGAGCTGACCTTAGGGGATCTGCCCACCTTGGCCTCACATAGTGCTGGGATTACAGGCGTAAGCCACCGTGCCTTATTTATTTATTTATTTATTTATTTATTTATTTATTGAGACAGAGTCTCGCTCTGTCTCCCAGGCTGGAGTGCAGTGGTACAGTCTTGGCTCACTGCAACCTTGGCCTTGTGGGCCCAAACTATCCTCCCACCTCAGCCTCTTGAGTAGCTGGGACCACAGGCTTGTGCCACCACACCCTG